TTAGGATGCACTTAGGATGCATTTAGGGTGCACTTAGGATGCAGTTAGGATGTGCTTAGGATGTGCTTAGGATGCACTTAGGATACACTTAGGATACGCTTAGGATGCGCTTAGGATGCGCTTAGGATGCAGTTAGGATACGCTTAGGATGCAGTTAGGATGTGCTTAGGATGTGCTTAGGATATGCTTAGTATGCGCTTAGGATGTGCTTAGGATGCAGTTAGGATGCACTTAGGATGCATTTAGAGTGCACTTAGGATGCAGTTAGGATGCACTTAGGATGCATTTAGGGTGCACTTAGGATGCAGTTAGGATGCACTTAGAGTGCGCTTAGGATGCAGTTAGGATGCGCTTAGGGCTCTGCTCTGTCTCCGTGCAGGACTGCTACTACCGCGGCTACGTGGAGGGCTTCCCGAGCTCCACGGTGACCCTCAGCACGTGCTCCGGGCTCAGGTAGCGCCGCGGCGCCGGCCCCGCGGCCGCCCCGGAGCCGGCGGCACCGCGCAGCGTCTCCCCCGCAGGGGCCTGCTCCAGTTCGCCAACGCGAGCTACGGCATCGAGCCCCTGCTCTACTCGCCCGCCTCCGAGCACTTGGTCTACCCCATGAGCAACGAGCACACGGCGGGGTTGCGCTTCGCCAGCGTCCGCGCGGAGCGGGGCCAGGGCGCGACGACGGCCGAGGAGATGATCGTGAGGACGAGGGGGCCCCAGGTGAGCGGGGTCTCAGGTTTGGTACCAGCAGGGCTTTTACTGCCTGCATTTCCTCTTAAAAATGTGATTATGGGGCAACTGCAGCCTGGCTTTATGTCCTAATGGAGATTTTGCATGATCCTCCCCAAAAACTCAATGATAGCAATGCTCAGTGGAGTTTTCAGTGTCTCTCAGTCCTCCGAAAATTTAGGACGGGCTTTAAAATGAGCCTAGTCTGCAAACGTCCCGTAGGCCTTGCTTCTGAATACTTGGCCTAGCAAAGAAATAGTAATGTCACATATCACTAAAATGCAGTGATAAATAGCAACGATATCCCTAAAATACAGCGATACATAGCAACAATATCACCCGAAAATAGCAATAAATAGCGAGAAATGCTGGGTTTGTTTGCAGCCGGGGCCACCTGCAACCAAGTCTCCCAGCTACGTGGAAATATATGCAGTTGTGGACAAGGCTTTGGTGAGTCACCGGTGTTTCCTTTGCTTCTTAAAGCATCCAAAACCAGTGCAATCCCTCCGCTTTCACGTCAGATTTCCCATTAGAAAATAGGTTTTTATGGTGGATTTTGAAGGCAGGAGAGAATAGAAGTCACCTGCGGTGACACGAGGGGGTTTGGGAGTCGTTTCGGGGTGGCCTCCCTTCCCTCTTCCAATACCCCGTCCATTCCCACGGCCTCCGGGGCTGTTTTCCAGTACAACTACATGGGCTCCGACAGGACCCTCGCCACGCAGAGGATCATCCAGGTGTTCGGGTTCCTCAACAGCGTAAGTTTGGCCGTCTGCTTCGTTTTGTCGTAAAACCGGGTAAAATCTGCATTTCCTTTCCTCTGCGCTCCGCTACCTGCTTGGTGTTTGCAGCTCTTTAGTCCCCTCAACGTGACCGTTGTGCTGTCGTCCCTGGAATTCTGGATCGACGACAACAAGATTCCCACGACGGGGGAAGCGGATGGGATTCTACAGCAGTTTCTGCAGTGGAAGCAGTCCTACCTCGTCCTGCGCCCCTACGACATAGCCTTTTTATTCGTGTAAGGCCAAAGGGTTCCTCCTTTTAAAGCCACTGCCACCCAGAGGAGCTGGGCGGCGAAAATTGCAATGAAAAGAGTTCTGAAATGTGCAAGGAATTGCAGGATTCACCCGGTTTTGTTCGGTTTAGAGGATGTTTAAGGTCTTGCTGCTCTCCCCTATGATGATATATGAGAATAATATGATATGATGTGATAATAATATGATGATATACAATGTTATGATAATAATATGAAGATGTGATGATAAGATCAAAGCAAAAAGGGTTGTAAATAATCGTAAATGAGCGATTTCCAGGAATTGCCCCCAACCCAGGGCTTTGGGGGCGATGCAGCCTGTGCAGTTGAGCGCCCGGCTCCGGTGCTGGGGAAGGAGACGCCCGGGAGGTGGCCGGGATTGAGGGGTGACGGAGACGCCGGTGTTTTAGGTACAAGGAGGAGCAGCCGACGTCGGTGGGCGCCGCGGTGCCGGGCCGGGCGTGCGCGCGCGAGGACGCCGGCGTCGTGGCCGTGGTAGGAGCGCGGGCGCGCGGGCGGCC